TAAACCCCTAAACCCCAAATTCCTAAACCCTAAACCCTAAACCCCTAAACCCCTAAACCCCTAAACCCTAAACCCTAAACCCCAAACAATAAACCATAAACTCCAAACCCCTAAACCCTCGACCGGCCTCGACCTTGGCAAAGAAGTGCCCACGGTATTGCATCTCCAGGACCTTTCCGTTTTAGGGGGGCTTAGGGTTTAGGGTTTAGGGCTTTAGGGGTTTAGGGTTTAGGGCTTTAGGGGTTTAGGGTTTAGGGTTTTAGGGGTTTAGGGTTTGAGGGTTTGGGGTTTGGGGGTTNNGGGTTTGGGGTTTAGGGCTTAGAGCTACAGGGTTTTGCAAGGCATGGCTTTGGGGTTCTATAAAGGCTTCGTTTAGGGCTTAGTATCATACACACCCTCAAATACCACTCCAGGCTACTACCATACTACAACCATAGGGTTTAGGCGGTTTAGGGTTAGGGATGTCTCCACAGGGCCTTTCCGCAGAGTGCCCCGGGCTTTGCAAGGGATGGCTTTGGGGTTCTACAAATACAGGGGCCTAAGTTTAGGGTTTGGGGTTTAGGGTTTAGGGGTTTTAGGGTTTAGGGTGTAGTTACCCTAAGGTACGCCGTTAATATTTGGGAGAGTATATGATTGTTAGGCACTTAGACCCTTAGGGTTTCCTGTGCTATTTTTGGCGGGGTTCCCTACTATGACTATAGTACAATAGACCCCAAAACCCTGTTTCCTACATTAAGCCTTTTTGTTTTTTTTTGTATGAGGGTTTTGTAAGGGCTTTATGATTTATATGCTTATCCGACAGTGCAATGCCCCTTAGTGAAGGAATAGACCTCAAGCTATGTTTGGCAACCTTTGTTGATTCGCGCAAATCCTGTAAACAGGAATCGGGCTCCCTGAGGCCCACCAACCTGAAGATTCAGGCGTAGGTAGGTTAGGAGGCGTAAGGTTTTACTGAAGTGTTTTTGTGGGTTTTCAGGTGCCCTTGCTGTCTGCTATGCAGGACTGCAGATATACACTTCTACCTCAAACCCCAAAGCCCTAAAGCCTAAATCCCACATATGACAAAGAAGCCTATAGCCCAAACCCCCTAAACTCAGCTTATGTCGGCAAGTGTTTAGGGTTTGTGCGTTCAGGGTTGAGGGATGAAGAGGGCATAACATGCAACACCTCCAGTGTAGTAGTTTCAGAAAACAAGATATCCTCTAATATGATAATCCCTATACCCTACACTGTACAACCCCTACCCACCAGCCGAACTTGGCTTAGGATACATTCCGGCTGCTGTGGTGGCAACTTTCGTAGTTCTCCGACTATTGCGGACAAGGATACCTGATACCTCCGTCTCCGAGATCTTGAGAGCCTTCGTCTTCACATCGATCTCGTCCGAGCCACTCATGGCGGCTCGACGCTCGAACTGCTCTGCACACTTGCTTGCGGACACTGGAGACTGTCATTTCCTCAATGGCACGCATCTCGGGCTTTATCTCCACGATTTTGCCGCGCCCTGGTGGCTTCGGGTAGGCCTTCGACTCGCGATCTGTCCACGCACCGAAATAGTCGCGGGCCTCTCTCCCGGTTATGGGCCTGTGTGGCGCAGCCCTGTCCGGGAAATCGTGATGCCGAGTGGGTTTAGGGTTTAGGTTTAGGGGCTTTGGGCTTAGGTTTAGAGTTTAGGGCTTAGGGTTGGGGGTTTAGGGGTGCAGGGGTTTATGGCTTATATCGGGTTCAGGGGTTGAGGGGGTGACCTGAAGCCTTGCCATGCCCGGGTCTATATGAGCAAATATACAGGAATCCTAGCATCAAGGTTTAGGGTTTAGGGTTTGGCGCTAAGGACACCAGAACAGGTTCTAAGATATCGGATGTATACCGTATACCCTAAACCTCATGGAGCCAAAAACGAACTCCGCGCATGAGTACCGCAGTGCACAAGTTATCAACTCATCCTGTTCCCCTAAGGGTCCAAAGGACCCAATTATAAGGTACTTTGGTTGCGGATAGTAGTTATCTAGGTTAATATGTGGGAGAGTGTATGATTGTTAGGTACTTGGACCCTTAGGGTTCACCATCTCAAGGCAAGGCCTGAACCTGAAAACCTACGCTTGAACAGATCATCCGGCCTCTTTTAGGTCATGCTTCAAGACTCCCTCGCCACACTCGTTGATGGCATCGTTGTGGAACTGGGGGCAGCAAAAGTTGATATGGTTTGACCCAAGTGCGAAGTTGAAGGGCCAGGCAAATGCATGGATTCAAGGGTTTAGGGTTTAGGATTTAAGGTGTTCAATTGGGCTGAAAGCATCAGCACCTTAGCAACTTGGCGCCTTAACACCGGGTCGTGGGTTTTGGAGATTGGGATTTAGGGATGTCTAGGGAAAAAGGATGCTGTCGGGTTCAGGATTTGGGGATGCTTCGGGCTTACCAATAGGCCCCATAGCAGTTCCTTTTTTGGGATTACCTAAAAGGATCCTGAATACAAGCCACAAAAAGGAGCTACTAGGGGGCCTATGGGTAGGGCTTATGGATCATACTGTTTCTGGTGTCAAGTGTCGCCTCTTCGGCAGGAATCTGAAGACCTGGTTTACAGTTTAGGGTTTGGGGTTTAGGGTTCATGACAATGAGTTCTGAGGGTTTTCTCTCAAATAATGTAGGGTCTAAAATGGGGCCTCGATAATTCTGAACAGGCTCTAAGGGGATTGTTGTGCGACAACTAGTAGTTTTACAGGGACCATGTGGGGTTAGCAACACGAATGATTGAGAGAGAGTAAGGCACCGTTATCACGAGGTATCGTAGCTGGAAGGAGCACTCCCCCAACAAAGCATCTTAACAGTAGTATGGGTGGCATGGTGGCGATGATGGTGGTGGCGGCGACGGTGGTGGCGGCGGGAGTGGCGTGGCACCAGCAGTAGCCGCAGTGCCGGCAGTAGTGACTAGTAGTGCTAGTAGATAGTTGTGGCAATACAGGCCATATATTGTAGTAGTCGTACTGGTAGTGGTGGGGGGTGGTGGTCGTAGTAGTAGTAGTAGTAGTAGTTGTTGTTGTTGTCGTTGTTGTCGTTGTTGTCGTAGTTGTTGTTGTGGCCGCGGTTGTAGTTGTAGTTGTAGCAGCAGCTGCCACTGTTGTTGTGGTGGTCGTTGTCGTCGTGCTTGTTGATAGTGGCAGCAGTGGTTGTGGGGGTGGAGCTGGTCAGAGGGGGAGGGTTTAGGGTTTAGGGTTGCAGCCCTATAAGCCTAAACCCTAAACCCTGAACTAGGGTTTTGGGCTGCAGTTCTATGAATACGAAAAAGGCGGAGATTCAGTTCTCGTCGCCGCGGATGCCAATTGCTAACTGGTACATGCGATTCACTGGTACTGCTACAGCGACATTAGGGGTACGGTAGGGGGAAAAAGGGACATGTTGACACTGCGTGAAAGGCAGCCATGTAGCAATTTAGCAAACTCGGATGGTGCCTGCACGAAGTCGAGGGAGCTGGCGCCCTGTCGCTGAATGGCATGAACTTACCCTAACCCCCCAGGTACCTACTATATAAGGTACTAGAGCCCCTAAGGCCCTATATAGCAGGTAACTGGGGGCTTAGGGTTATTGAATGAGATTTGGACTTTCTCCTGGCTGAATAGTCTGCTTATGTCTGTTTCTGGTGGTTGCGTGGGCCATAAACTGTGGCAGCAACACTGACAACGCAAGAAGAAGCTCCCATCAGTAACACCATACGAACGTAACCAAACTACTAGAACGGTTGCGACGCGACGATATCGACGGGCTTTGCTACTAGCCTCTCCTGCTGGAACTTATGCCGCTTTACTACAGCTGTTGCTGTTGGTCCTGACTCTGCTACGGCTACTAATACTCGACGAGGACAACGATGACGACTGCCACTACTGCAGCTGCTTCTGTTTCAACTGCCGGTACTACTGTGTACTGCTGGTACTACTGTGTACTACTACTACTACTACTACTACTACTACTACTACTCCTACTACTACTACTACTACTACTACTACTACTACTACTCCTACTACTACCACTACCACTACCACTACCACTACCACTACCACTACCACTACCACTACCACTACTACTACTGCTACTACTACTGCTACTACTGCTGCTACTACTACTACTACTACTACTACAGTACTACTA